CCGTGCTACAGCTGGCTATAAATCTGTAGCCCGCTGCTATTCTCTCTCCTTATTTATCTTCTTAAAATATGTTTGTAGCTGACTTATAGCCTACTATTGTACCTGCTCTGATGATCAATCCAGCACCGAAATGGAAGCCATCTTTAAATAAGCAGATTGCTGGATGGAGCCCATCCGTGCACCGTGCCATGGTCCATGCGTCGCGTTGATTAGCGCTAGCTGCTGGTCGAGCCGACTTGTGTTGCTTGCAGCGTCCGTCGACGGCAGCTTAGCGCGCGCTGGCACGTAGAGTTGCCTTATTAATGTCGGGGGTGGCTCGCCATGTTCTGCGACAGCAGATCGAAATGAGAAGTTAAGAAACCCATGTTCGGAAAATGGATTGCCGCGTGCTCGAGATCACACTGGCCGACAGGTGGGCCTCTCAGTTGCATTCCTCAGCTATGCTCTGGACAGCAGTGCCTGCCAATTGTGTCAAACGGTCAAACCCCATCCTGAAGAAAGCTTAAAACAAACCCTTTTTGCACAGTAGACCATACATAGGCACATAGCTACAGTCTGTGAGTAGATTAGATCATTAGAGTACTTTGTTACTGCACTAGTGACCACTGTCCTAGCTTAAGAAATCACCCTCCCTCTAGTACGCACAGCTGTCTTTCTTGACAATATCTGTACTACTATGTGTTAAAAATACAGAGAGAACATGAACACTTGTCCTTAACATAGAGTAACCCATTTCGGCAAGTTCGGTAATATATCCAACCACTCTACATAAATCCGTTTGGTTACATGTGTTACTCTATCTCATATCTGATGCTTTCTTAGGTGGTTAAGCTATCAACAAGCTACCTGCTCACTTGAATCAACAGTTCCTCGACGCCAATGAGTAGGCGGTTGTGAAGAGCCAATTTTATCATGTTTTTCAGCCACACATGAAGTAGAATCCACCGATTCATAATCATCTATAATCGTTTTTACGCGCTTTGCAACTAGACAAAAATCGGTATTGGAGAGCAATGCAATTCCCCTTACATTCTCGTCCAATAATCTAATTTGACGATCCAAAAGAAACCAAATCCATGGGGAGGAGATATAAAACATAGTTCACCCCCATAATGCAATGCCCCTCCTGTAGATATTTTTTGGTCACCAAAGACAATAGTGTGGACCCCTGCAGGGTCCTCAAAGGGAAAGGCACCAGAGTTAATTAACTGGTTGTCTTACTAGATCCTAGCTGTTCCTCTGCTGACAGTGGTTGTGTTTGTGTATCTCGGTCCCCTCTGCATCCTTCCTCGGTTTAGTCCTGACGAGGAGGGGAAAAAAAATAACCCAGCCACTACACACCTGCTGGTCCAACAGCTAGAAACAGCTAACCGCTGCCCCAGCAAGCCGGTGAACTGTCATCACGCCCAGATCCAGGGACATTCTCTTTTCGCTTTGTCGGCGTCTACTCCATCGATCTACCACACCCTGTTCATACGCATTTGTCTCGGTTGCCGCCATCCGCCACCAACGTGATACCTGAAAATTTTCATTCATACGATGAACAGAGCCATCTGCCATCTACTAATCTAGTTGCTGAACAAAGTCTAAGGCCAGTCACAATGGCTAGTGTCATTGCACGGCTACCCAAAATATTATACCATCTTCTCTCAAATGAAATCTTTTATGAAACAATCCCCACAGTGGAGGGGTTTCACTTTGACGTTTCCAAGACTAAGCAAAGCATTTAATTGATACAAGTTGCTGGGATCATTTGTACCCAAAATCCGGCGCGGCGCGGGAGAATGCGGAGGTCGCACGGCGGAGGCGGACGCAAGAGATCCGGTGAATGAAACGAATCGGCCTCAACGGGGGTTTCACTCTGTTACCGAGGACTTGGAAACGACGCTGACGAGTTTCACCAGGATGAAACTCTTTCCTTCTCTCTCATCCCCATTTCATGCAAATAATCATTTTTTATTCAGTCTTACCCCTATTAAATGTGCATGACACACCAGTGAAACCCCCATTGTGACTGGCCTAACAGATCCTCCTCCTCTCCCAAGATGGAGAATTAGTTGCCGACAAAATTATTAAGGATTAGTTACGACTTCTTAGAGGAGGTACAATAGCATGCTATAAGCCAGCTGCAAACATATTTAAAGCAGATAAATGAGGAGAGAGAAAAGCAGCGGGCTACAGATTTATAGCCAGCTGTAGCACGGACTCCAAGACGCAATGTGTGTATGACAGGTGGGGCCATGTATTAATAGTGTAGTATGTAACTATTATATGAATAAGCTATTAGATTGACTATAAATGAATTGGAGCTAGTAGTTGGCTATACTATTAAACTTGCTCTTACCGGTGTGTGCAACCATATACTCCACTTATCATATATATATATGCGCGTCGGAGCGAAATTTTGCAGGGTGGTTGTGATCTCTCCGGTGTTTGTTGTTATACAGACGTATGTATGTTCATACATAATGTTGCCAAACGGCAACCGAATTTCACACATGCTTTCAAGTTTCAGCAGATGTTGGTTATCGAGGGATTGGTGGGTGAACAACACAGAGCAGAAGAGAGCTGTACGTTCCAACAAACCATTGAACAAGTCACTGTATGTATCTGAACAACGCCATACTATGGGGGTGTTTAGATGGGGCTAAACCTTTTTAGCCTATGTCACATCGGATGTTTAGACGCTAACTTGGAGTATTAAATATAGACTAATAAAAAAACTAATTTCATAAATGAGAGCTAATCCACGAGACGAATTTTTTAAGCCTAATTAATCCATAATTATCAAAAGTTTATTGTAGCATTACATTGTCAAAATTATAGCGTAATTAGACTCAAAAGATTTGTCTCACGAATTAGTCCAAGGTTATGAAAATAGGTTTTGTAATTAGTGTATGTTTAATACTTCAAATTAGTATCCAAACATTCAATAAGACAGTGACTTATTCTAAGTCTCTCGAAACGAAATAGGCCCTATACATTTTCTTTTTCTGCAAAAGAAAATGAAAACGTAGGCCGGTTGCGAGTGCGTGCTGAGGCAATCAATCATACATTCGAGTTCATTCAACTGAGCACAATCAGTGGCAAAGCTTGCTGCAAAACGGGGGTCCCAGTCGTACTACCTTCCTATGATTTGTTAAGGCCCTAATTATAGAATCTAGTAAGAGACAGCGGAGACCAAAAGAGTGCAGGCTGAGCACTCTGCCCTCCATTTGCTAGCAGAGGCAAGGCTCTGTGTAGATGATTACTCCTTTTAACAATTCGATTATACAGATTACTGAAACTTCACCTTCGATTTAACAATTCGATGGTTGCCACAGCTATATTCATCCATGTGACGACCTAGGCTTAGAGCAGATAGATAATGAACGCCCACCATCAGCCTGACCAACGGAGCAGCACTATACATTCGTGATACGGAGAACTACTCCTTTATTTATGTGCCCCTATAGCCGGAACATTTGATTACGTCCGCACAAAGCACGGTTCATGTACATGAAAATTGCAGGATAAATTGCACCGGACGGCAGCGACATGTATCCTCCTCTCATGTCAATTCGCTCTGGAAGCTCGCCAATTGGATTTGGGCCCCTACGTGAGTCTCCGAAAGTTTTTACTTCCACTCGTTCAAGGAGTGTGTAGTTCGCATCCGATGTCCATAGTGAAGGTGCAACAAGGCGTAGGGATACTAATAATCTGTGATTACTCAACTTGTGGTTTGAGATGTAGAATATGTGCAAGTGACCAGTATGCAAGTAGTACTAGCACCATACAGGCTAGTAATACGCTCGAGAGAATAGGAGTACATCTTAAGCTAGGCAGGCAGCAAGCATTTCTAAACTGATTGGTCGGAGCTGATTAAAACGGATTACAGGGTGGTGGCCCCACAACACTAGTCCAGTTTAGGTTGCCAACCCAGTATCGCCATTGGTTCATTGGCTAGTACTAGTAGCAAGCCGAGACCGGCCGGTGGTGGTGGCCCTCCTCACCAGCGCCTCACCTCGGCTCTTTTTGCCCCTCCCCCCGCCGTCTCGTCCCCAACGTGACGGCCACATGGGTGCCGGTTGCCCCCCACACCGATCGATCGATCGATCAATCCACCAGCTCACTCCTCACCCCCATCAGGTGCGCGCAACCACCTTTCCACCGATCACGACGCTCCCCCATCCCCGTCTGCTCGGCTCGGCGCAGCGCACCCACACCCACGCCGTCGTGCGCGCCACCCGAGCCCGCAAGGCGGAGGTAAAAACTGGGATGGGATACCGTGCGGTTTACCCCAGCGGGAAAAAGGGACAAGATCATCGTAACACGGCCCGAGGCGAGGAAGAGAGGGGGTCTACTTTCGGGGGTCGAGTCGGTGGAACCCGAGGGCGCTTTCTCTTGGAAACACGCCTGGTGCGCCATGCGACGCAACGCAATGGTGAGAGACGGACGGACGGACGGAAACATCGAGCAAAAAGAGAGGAGGGCTTTGGGCCTTTGACCGGGTCAAGAGAGGAGAGGACGCATGCAAAACACAGAGAGCAGAATATAAACCGGCCGAACTCATGCGCCCATGAATACGCATGCCAGGGCCAGTCCAAGAGGAAGACGGGGGATGATGACATGATCCAATCCAAAATTGCTTTTATGGCGGGCATTGGAGCGGAGCGGAGCGGAGCAAGCAGAGGCTCTCCCGCCAAAACTCTTCAAGGCCATTAAAATCGGCAGAGGCAGAGAGCTACTATGACGGAACGGACGGACGGATGGTGATGGCTCCAGCGGCTGAGCCACCCATTCCAGCTAGACCCACGCTGGATCCTGCGATCGAGCTAGCCGAGCCAAGCCTGGGACTCTCTTTGGGGATGCGTCGTTTTCTCGGCGAGCACGCAGGGGACTACCGGAGATCTAGTCAGATGCTGACCCACAGCCAGGCAGATTCCTAGGCGGTTAGTCGCCGGACAAACTGTTCATCCTCCATTGTGCAAGTGTACTACACCATCCACTCTATAATCATGTATTTATTGTCAACTAGTAAGAAATACTCACCATCATTCATATATTAAGGCTTTGATGGTACAAATACAACTGTTGTTTAACAACACCCAGCCCAACTTTGCTGCTGCTGCGGCTAAGCACCGAACTACTACACCCCTAAATAAGAATCTTATTGTACCGAACCAAAACAGAAGGTTAGGGCACCTATAAGCTAGTACAAGAAAAATGGCAATTAAATTCATAGTTTCCTTTTCTTTTTTTTCCTTAAGAAAGGAACGCCCTTATTCACGGAGCCCACGGCAAGCTTCTTTTGCAAGTAAAAGACTGCAAAAAGGAGGGAGGAGGGAGAGAGACCTTATAGCTGGGTGTGCGCTGGTACTTCACTTCTTGGCAAGCACCCAAAGCAAGCAAAGCCATGGATGATGTAGAAATGGGTTTATTTTTGGCTCCCCCAAGATGACCCATCCATAAACCACTTTGATGATACCTTGTCACTTCTTGCTTGCAAGCTGCACAAGCCGCTAACATTTCTCTCTCGCCCTCCAAAAGAACCACTTATTATTATTCCTTCCAAACCACTCTGCCAAACCACCAAACCGAAGACATGGATTTCCTCTACTGCACGTCGTCTCCGTCTCCATCTCCGCCGCTTTCCGTCCACACCAAAAAACCAATATATCACCAATCAAACAAACAAACCTAACGCTGATGATACTACTGCCTCCTACTACCCTCTTTGGCTAATACTACCACCTAACAGACGAAGTACTGTTACTAACTTTAATTAATATGATTAAACTTGACGCAAAGCCAGAAGGGGGCCGCCGGAATCTTGGTGCATCATCCTTCGTCTGCTCCGGCCGACACAAAAAAGTTCACGAACTGTGGCAGAGCGCAGGCGCCGGCGCCGGCGACGGCACGGCTGGAGACGCGCGCCGCTTCTGGCTGGCCAGCATGGCGTTGCTCCGGTTAATCAAAGCGTCTGCATAAAAAAAAACAACTCGACATAAGCTTTTGCTTGCCATTTCCGTCGAGAAAAGAGGATTTCGCCGCATGTGGTGGTTACCGTGATCGAGAACGAAACCGCCGGGGTAGCGAGGCTGGGCGCCGAGGTCGTCGAGGTTGAGATTGAGCGCTTGCACGACACGGGCGGGGACAAGAACAGTCGAGCAGCCTGCAGGGTCGCGGAAAACACCAAAGGGGAAGAATATTGAGCCAAAAGAACAGGGGAATACGCCGGCAAAAGCAAACGGCCAAAAATGGCGGACACTGCACCTGTCTTTCTCTTGGGCTCCGCCGGTGCGCCGGCCGGGCGAGGGAGGAAGACGCCGGTGCCGTTGCGCTCGCGCTTGGCGCCGGGCGGGGTGAGGAACACGGCGCGCATGCCGCCGCCGCCGCCACCCCCGACTCCGGGTGCCGGCGCGTGCTGCTGCTTCTGCAAGGGAGGCCACGCCGCAGGGTTCATGTCGACAGGCGACGCGGCGACTCCGCACCCGGCGGTCTTCGCCGCTGCCGTCTGCCTCGCGCCCCACGCGGCGGCCGCGGCGAGATGCCGATCCCTCTGCAACTTCAGCAGCTGCTGCTGCTTGAGGAGATGAAACTGAAACAGGAGAAAAATGTCGGGGAGAAAAAACCGCGGAAAACGACGGTGCAACTGAAGAATCTCTGCATGAACCAAGTACCTGTGCGGCTTGAATCTGGCGCTGTGTAAGCAACTGGGCGAGCGGATGGTAGTAGGCGGCGGGAGCGACCTTTGTTGCCGGTGGAGAAACGGGAGGCGGCGGCGAGGCCTTGCGCGCCGGAGCGGCAAAGCCACCGTGGGCGGGGAAGCCGTAGGGATTGTTCGGCACCGGGATGCTGTTGGTGACCCGCATGCGCGCCACCTGACCTGCCGCCTCATAGAGCATGTCCCACGGGTCCGCCGGCTTCTGCTCCAACGGCGACGACGGCGGCGAGCTCACCTGAGACGCCCCGCCGTTCGGGCTCTCCTGGCCGGACTTGGGCAGCCCACACAGCGTCGACTGCGGCGAACCAACCGTCACCTCCGCCTGCACACGAAAAACCAATCAAAAACCACGACACATCATCCCCCTTTGAAAGAACCAAGAAAAATCAAACCACCTTGGGAGGCGCGTCGCGCTCGCCGTCGTCACCAAGAAGCCCGGCGAGGCGGCGGGAGAGGCCGGCCAAGCAATCCTCCTCGTCGCTGCTATCGCTCCTCGCGGCCACGGCGGCCTTCTCCTCCTCGGAGAAGAAGTCGTCGTCGAGGAACTCATCCGGCAGCAAGAACTCCTCGCCACCGTCGGACCACTCCGTCGCCATTTCCCTCCAATTCCCCACCACAACAATCCTGACCTCCTTCCCCCCCGAGAGTTATGGCGTGCCGGTTTGGTGGGCGAGAACCTCTGCCCGCCCGAGGACGACGAGAAGAACTAGTGACAGCTTCGAACCGTACGGACAGCGGCCACAACCAGCTATCCGGCCGGTCCCCCCCACACACAAAGGAGGCGGAGAACGAAGGGCGCGAAGCCGAGCGCGACGCAAGCGGCGGCGAGTAGAGAGGTTCTTGTCGCCGAAAAGAAGCGGGCGGAGAAGGAGATGGGGGGCGTGAGAATGTCGCTGGACGGCGGCACCGCGAGTCAAAATGCTGCTCGGCCTCGCCGCGACGGGGGCTATAAAAGAGGCGAGCGAGAGGAGAGAGAAAGGGAAGCCGGATTATCATCTCTCAGTGTTTTTTTTTTGCGTAAATTAAGCGGTTTAAATCAAATGTTTTTTTCTTTTTTTTTTTGGAGTGGTGAGCAAGTGGGAGTTGAGTGACGGCCGGTGAACCGTAGCGCCCCCAAATGCCTCTCCCCTGTTCAGCGTCAGCGAGGGGGATTTCGAGTACTCTTGCGCGTATTTTTTGGGCCGTGCAATGCAAGACCGAGGGAGTTATTATGGGGTCAGTACGTAGTTGTGGTACGAATTCATCTCGGATCTACTCCTATATTTTTGCCGGATGTTTGTGTGCGTGGGGCGATCATGTCAAGCGCATTTCACCCACTACACCGTTTGCTAAATGGTGGTTCAACCGATTTTAGAGAAGATCACACCACCCAAATGGACCCAAAATGGAGCAGAAGCAAAAGCTTAATTTCTTTTACATCGGCGATACAACACCCACTCTACCCTGGCCGCTGTACGCACCACCTCTCGTCAATCCCCAGTTGTGAAAATCTCACACCGAACAGTGCCCAATCACGGCGTATTCACGGCGTGTTTCGTGCGTGTACCTAGTGAGATTGTTATTGCTCCATTGAATGCACGCCACGTCGGCGGGGGTAAAGGGATGGGTTAGCGCCATACGGTCACGAGAATTGCATATTCTCAGGACGATTTTTTTTTACAGCGCATTAAAGTCGTGAGCGCTTTAAAGCGGGGAGTTTTGGTACTACGGTGAGTGGAAAAGAGAAAGAGGCAGTGGTATGATGTGTGTGTGGTGTCGGGCACATGTCACGTAGCAGCAGTAGTAGGCAAATGCTGCGCACCGTAACGCACCACTGCATCATTGCATTTTTCACATCGCCCGATAACCCGCCATAAATCGAGTGAAAAGCGGTGAAACTGAACCGGGACCGGGTGGCCCGTTCGGCGACGAGCCAGATGAAACGACGCCGACGGCGACGAACCGCTGCATCGGTAACTGACCACGGGACCCACCCGAGGCGTCCCTTCTGGTGATCGGGATGGTGCTTCGTGTGGCGGGAGGGGAGTTTGATTTCTGGGGAGACCGTTTTTTTGCCCCTACGCATGCACCGTTTCGAAAAAATAATTTCTCATTTTTTGTTTGAATTTGAAGCCTTGCCTTTAAAATCAAGTACTGATCGAAACTGCAGCAGGTTTTCCAGTGGCGTGTCAGAATCCCTTCCGTGGAAGTGGTGGCAATGCGGATAAGGGCGAGGCAAGCAAACGGCAAACTGCTGCCATGTAGTCCTCGCTTAGCCCACCTGTCGCTCTCTCCGTGGGCCCACATGTCAGTGAGCCGCACCCCAGTGCGTGGGTCCCACCGAGGAGAGCGGCCTCTCGGATTCCTGTGAATCTCCGCGCGCCTGGCTGACGCGCGCCACGCCGGAGATTCCCGATACGGCTTGGCGCCCACGTCGCTGTCGGGCGGGCCCCGCGCCACGCACGTCACCCTCCCTCTCCGTCAATTATAACGGCGGCGCGGTTGTCGCGGTCGGTGGGGTCCACGGCAACCGCTGTGGCCGACGTGGTGGGACCCTTTTGGTCCTGCGAACTCGCCGAAACCATCGTACCCAGAGTTTTTTCGCGTCCTTTCGTTCAAGTTTTTCACGTTTCCCTCTCAATAAAAAGCTTTTTCTGTAGTTCTTTTTCCCATAAAATTTCTTTACAAGAAAAAGTGTTTGTTGCGTAGGCCGCTGTTATTATCGTGTCCAATGAAATTCGGGAGGCCACGAAAAAAACTACGCTAGCGTTTGCCCCTCTTTTTTCAAGTGTTTACGCATTTTTTTTCTCGGGTTTTTTTCTGGAAAAAAAACGCTATCCGGATCAGGAGGGTGAGGCGTTGAGGCGGTGGACGTGGGGACGTGTTCACCCACCAGAAAATGACTGGTTTCATCTGGTATATAAAAAAGAAAGAAAAAACGAAAGAATAAAAGATAACCAGAACGATTGATTGCATGGTTGAATAGGAAAAGAGAGCCCCATGCACACAGGGGAATACGGTTGTGACATGATTTCCACCGTTTGCGTGGTGCTAATGTTGCTTTTAGCGATGATTACTGACGATGACAACGGATGATATTATTACCTCAATGTATATTTACTAAGTGGGTAGTAAGATGAGACCCACAAAACTGGATAGTAGGTGTTTTGATTCTCACAATGTATAGGTAAGCTGGGTCCCACATTTAAGAGGAGTGGATGGGTGAGGTAGAGAGAAAGAATGAGAGATAATAGAGTTTTAATATTTGTTTATTACTTGTTACATGATAGTAGTGCTACTACCCAGATGATACTATTGCTCACTTTATTACATGCCTCATAATAGTAAACTAGGTAGTAGGATTTCTTACTACCTACTTTTTAGCACATTGTAGATGCCCTACTCTATACGAGCGAAATGAAAACATGAACCTGCAGTGATGCAAGCCCGGGGTGTCCTGTGTCGGATCCCGATTGGGTGAGCCCGCTATTTCGTGACGTGCCCGGAGAGCGACGTGATCCTTTTTATTCAAGAGCGGCCGATGAGTTGCTGATTACGGTAGCGGTAGTAGTACTTGCACTTAGGACACCCACAATGGTTATCTATAGGCTCTCTACAAGAGATCCATGTCAGCATATTTTTCTACTTGAAAGATATTAAATGAAGAGAGAGAGCAAAACTATCTACTAACTTAGAGATAGTCTATAGAGAAAAACGAGGCAATACATGAGAGAGCTATAGATACTGTTGTAGACATACTATTGAGGTGGTTTACTATTAATCTAGTCTATTGCTGAGATGTACATGTTTTATAGAGAGCACCTTACTTTACCATTGCGGGTGCTCTTATAGCATTTACAATAGCATGCTATAAGTTAGCTGTAAACATATTTTAAGAAGATAAATGAAGAGAGAGAAGAGCAGTGGGCTACAGATTTATAGCCAGCTATAGCACGGACTCCAAGACACAATGTGTGTATGACAGGTGGAACCAGTTATTAATAATGTAGTATGCACTGTAATTATTATATGAATTAGCTATTAGATTTGGCTGTAGATGAATTAGAGCCAGTAGTTAGCTTATACTATTAGACTTGCTTACAACTACAAGTTCTTTGCTTTTTTTTCCTTTTGAATCGGATGGGCGTCATGCACGGTTGCCTTCTTTTTTGAAAAACGAAATGTTGGTGTGTGCATTGGATGCTCTCTGCTGCGAGAAAGACGCAACTTTTTCCAAAAGCGATCTTGTTTCGAGTGGAGGAAGAGAGCAGCGAGGGGCCCGAGTGTTCTTCCCGACCGATTCAAGCGAGCACAGTTCATAAAAGATGGACATCAGTAGTAGTACTAGTACTATAACCATACATTACTCCCTCCGTCTCAAAAAAAAAAAGACAAATCTGGTTTCCGTGTCCAATATTTGACCATCCGTCTTATTTAAAAAAATTATAAAAAAAATTAAAAAGATAAGTCACGCATAAAGTATTAATCATGTTTTATTATCTAACAACAATAAAAATACTAATTATAAAAAAATTTCATATAAGACGGACAGTTAAACATTAGCATGGAAATCTAAGGTTTGTCTTTTTTTAGGACGGAGGGAGTACTCTCTAACCCTGTCTCTACATTGCCAAGACATGCAAGAACACCAACCAGGAGACAGGCGAAAAAACAACGATAAAGAACGCGCAAACAAAGACTCGACGGTTTGACGAGCATTTTGAACCTCAGTAGCTCGAGTAGTAGAGTGTTTTTTTTCCTCTTCTTGTTTTGGCGTTTGTCTCCAGACCGGCCTGCACGCTCCCACAGCACGCGGCACGGCAGCGCAGCGCAGCCGTAGCTCCTCCCCTTTCTGGGAGTCGCTCCGGCCAACCTTTCGCCACTCGCCTGCGCCGCCGCAGCGACACGCCCGTCGCAACAGCGCACCGCTTCGGTGAAAGAAACGCACTCTGCCTCTGCTGCTGCTGCTACTGCCTGGCTGCCTGGCTCGTGAGTAGTAGTAGCTGTTGCGTCTACACTGCATCGCATGCGCGTGCCGTGCGAACAGGTCAGAAAATGCAGCTGCAGCGGCGCCCGCTAGCGTCCATGGATCGATATAATTTTCACGTAGCTACAGTGTAATGAAGTACAGTACTCCTGCTAGTAGTGTGTTTTTATTAGACGGATAATTAGTGCCGGACTGCCGGTGGTCGTACCAAATGGACGTTGTTAAGAGGGGTTTTACCGAAGAAAACAGAGCTCCAAAGCTGGCGAAGTTTGGTGATAGGACGATCAGAGGAGACGGAGACCGTACGGTTTTCAAGATAACCGAGAGCATTTCTTGGCTTGGAGCTTGTGACCGAATTGACCGAGGCAGCAGTCAGTGAAAGATCGATTATTTGTATTTAGAGCGAGGTCAATAGTGCAACACACTACTTGCTCCAAATCATCTATAGTCAATGTAATAGTTAATTCATACAATAGTTGTTTACTATACTATTAATACCTGATCTCACCTATCATACACATATTACGTCTTGAAGTCCGTGCTGCAGCTGGCTAGCCCACTGTTCTTCTCTCTCTTTCTTTATCTTTTTAAAATATATTTATAGATGGCTTATAGCCTGCTATCGTACCTGCTCTTATGGCCAGGGCCTGCGCCTGCCTGGGTGGCGTCTGCAACTCGTGTCACTGCGGCTCGCGTTTGCTGCGGTCGCAGGGCCAGCTGTTCCCGGTCAAACCCAGTTTGGCGCCTCTGTAGCTGGCTTTCCCGCCATTTGTGGACAGGCCGGAGCTTTCCCGCGCAAATAGAGGCGCCTGCTCGCCGCTCCCGGTTGCAGGGGCACGGGCTAACATGGACATGGCGCGTATTGTCGTGTTTTTGTTTGACTTTTGGCAAGTTTGAAAAGAGTATACTAATATTATCTACTATATATACTAAAAGTCTATTAAACATCTTATAAACACCCTTAAGATACC